ATCAAATAGATTTATACTTATATATATTGTATCTATAGTAACACGCACTTTATATGTCATTGTATGTAACATTTCTTGTAGTGTTTGCTCCTAAGTCTTCTTAATAAATAGTTGTTGAATGCTTTAAAGGGTGGATACTTGCAAAAGTCACACCCACACTTAAGTAAAGACTTGACTTATAACAAATAATGCTTAATAATAAATGAGCGAATAATGTCTTTACCTCAATATCCACTATTCTATCTGTACAAACTTTAGTGAGCTTTGGACCTACATGTTGTTATCCCCAATTGCCAATTAGGTAATCTATCTTTAACAATGGTTTGGTGTGGTGATATTTTTAATGACATGGATTATCTACCTTTTTACCTTTTCCATTTAGTAGTATTGTTGAGAGGGGCTTTGATTGTTCATCCTAGGGATGACAAAAAAATCCACACTTATGAATATTTGTAGGAAATATTTGTCACAGGTTAAAAATTAGTATTGTTAACAAGTACCAGCAAGTAATGCGTACGGGTATTTTCTATACCCACATGTTAACAGGATAAGGACTAGTATCATAGTATCCATACTTACGAATACCTACTAATATTAAATTACTTAATTTATGCAATTTTTCTCTAGACTATATGTGCATTAAAGGGTTTTATGTAGTTTTTTTTTTAATTTATGCAAGCTTTTTATACAAATTTTATTTATGCAAATTTTATTTATGCAAATTTTATTTTATGTAGATTTTTTATCCAATTATTATGTCATTTTTATTTATGCAAATGTTATTTTATGTGGACTTTATGTAGAATTTTATGCTAATGTTTTTTAATAAATACCCATGACCATCCATGAATATTTATGGATATTAAAAAAAATTACAAGTACTTGCTTAATGACACTTGCACAGATATGGAAACAAGTATGAAGCAAATGTTTATTTGATGGGGAGGATAAAGCATACTACCATTACTAACTTCACCCCATTGACATCCCTATAGTTTGACCACTCAAACGTTTGTACCTTAACTCTTAGGTATTTGACCATTGAAAGGTTCAAATCCTAAGAAGTAGGTTCTACTGGTGAGGGCGGTTGAACCGTTGGTTTTTGGGGTGCTTAACCATTGAAGGGTTCGAATCCTAAATAAGGGGTTAGGTTACCATGGGGCCAAACCCTAGTCAAATCACTAATTATGAGGGTTAGGCTTTTGAAAGGTCCCAAAGGACACCTAGTTTTCTTTCACATCTTTTCCACTCACTCCATGGACCTTAACTGAATCACTAGTTATAAGTATTTTAGGGTTTAAGATTTAGTATGAGTATTCTATATCATCCGGATCTATGTCGCATTCAAACCCGTCATAGGATATAAAAAGTAATTGACATAGAATGTATTGTGTACATTAGTGTACCTATCCAATATATACAATTCACTCTATTATCTATTATAAGTAAAAAAAGAAATATTTCAAACATATTAAGAAAATTATTTATATGTATCAAATTTTAATGATCCACAATATTTTTTTAAATTATCCTTATTATAAATGTTTAAAAAAGTAGTGCAATTAAAAACTCATGTATAGAAGAATGTTTTAGAAAGAATACCATTAAATAAGATAAAAGTAGTTGAAATTTGTTTATATTTTAAAAAATATTTTTTTTCTTTACTTATAATAGTGAAAAGAGAGAGTGTCCAAATAAATAATTAATACAACAAAATCCTTACATCATTACACGATTTCAGTTGTTGAGATCGGGATATGTATGAAATCAAATTTCGTACGTATGGGAAAATACAAATAAAACAAAGAAACCTATCTCATAAACTGTGCAGACTGGTAACTAAGACGTTCTCATGATCAAGTTTAAAATTATAGTTGTGCTTGTGATAGTGTTGCCCTATGCTAATTAATTTGTTTGCGGATCACGTCCTCTCCCTCCATCATGTTTTCTCTTTGTCTGAAGAACACTCTCTCTTGTTTTGCTTCTTGTGCTTTTGAGAAGCCCTATGTTATTCGTTTGTGGATCACGTCCTCTCCCTCCATCGTGTCTTCTTTTTCTTTGTAGAACACTCCTTATCCTTCTGGTTGTTTTGCTTTTTTTCAGTTGTAGAACAATCCCTCTACTTTTGGTGCTTGTTGTGCTTTTGAGTTTCCCTACACTATTCGTTTGTGGAACACCTCCCACTCCACCATCGTGTTTTCTTTCCGTTTGTTGAGCACTCCCTCTTCTTTTGGTTGTTGTGCTTTTGAGGTTCCCTACACTATTTGTTTGTGGATCACGTCCTCTTCCACCATCATGTCTTCTTTTCGTTAGCAGCAGTGGCACGTGCACGAAACTACCAGCAGCAAGAGCCATGATGAACAACAACACAGACCGAACTAAAGTTGATTTTCTCTCTTGTCAGAAATAGTTAATGCAGAAGATGATCAGAGCCCGAAACGTTAATGTTTGGTTTATGGTATTGGTGTAGTGTTACGTTGAAGGTGGGATATATTTATAGGGAAAAAGTATGCAGTAATAGAAGAAAATTGTAATATGTTTGAAGTTGTCAAAAGTATGGAACGGGTCTCTGTATTTCCATGGTTGCATGGTCCAATTCAGTGGCATGACCGAGCATGAATAATTCACATTGACCCTGTATAAAATTACTTAATATCTATTTCTTTATAATATATTAAAGGTGAAAATATACAAATTAATTGATTTAAAAAAGTAGTAACATATATATATATATTTTTTTAATTTTCCATTAAATTAAGAAAGTTAATATTAAATTGTATACATGTATACAAACTTCTTACTTAAAAAAAAAACAGTTTAACTCAGTTAATTGAGTATGATGGGTTAATTGTTATAAACTAATTTCTAATATCGAGTTCGGTTTTGGGGATATATATATATATA